TTTTTAAACCCGACCCGGTGGCCGGCCTAGTCTAAGGCCCAGGTTCCGGGTTTTAACCGGGTCACCAAGTTTTGACTGAGTTGTCCAGGTCAATTCCTAATTTAAAAAAAATTCAAAACGACGTCGTTTTAGTAAAAAGATAAATAAAGATCAATGAGTTACAACCGGGTTTTACTGGGTCAATCAGGTCGCCGGGTCAACTCGCCGGGTCGGCCGGGTCACGCCGGGTCGTGGCTCATCCTATTTTTTCATCAACCCGGCCCGGTTCCAATCCCGGGTTGGCCAGGTCTCGAGTTAACCTGCCAGACCAGGCCGGGTTTTAGAACACTACCGAAAACCTTTTCCAGTTGGAAGGCTAAATTATCATTGCACTAAACGCATTTCAGTTGAATACAAATGACAGGCATTACGCCATGGTCCCATTGGGTAGACAAGCAGGTGTTGCTTTGCAACCACCGTCAAGACTTCACTTAACCCTAATCTATGGAGATTTAACGAACTTTTATCCGTCAATGTAATTTTATTTTTTAAATCTCTTCAGAATCTAAGACACGGTAGAAGTCCATAATGATGTGTATTTGTTGCTCTGTACGAGAAGGCAACACCTACTTTGGAACGACCATCAATACAAAAAATCACATCACTAACATTTTGCCTTGCACGCTCATCAATAATAACGATAGCTGTAACCAGTACGAACTCTACCCTCAGGTCTCGAACCCAGCTTTCTAGATCTAAAAACAGAAGACAACAAGGTTAATTTGTTTTACTATACCTTTGCTTCGTTGATTTGTCCACCGTGCAGCAGCCGCTCCTTTTAAGCTGCCTGCATCTACTCGTCCTTTCAAGGCCGTCGTTGTAAAGCAGACCCCAACTATACGTAGGAGGTGAATATAAAATGAAGTAAAACCCCATTGAGGCTTGGAAGCATCGACAAGATTTATGAACTTGTGACTGCATGTATCTAGCTGAATAAAAAAAACAAAGTAATCAATAATCAGAATCTACATGCACATAAGAGATGTTAAGCCGGAAAAAAACAAGGGAACACAAACAGAAAGAACAAAAGTCTAGTTCCATCTATATATCCTACTATGTCAGTGCATACAAAGCCGAAGTCTCATGAAACTAAATTTCCACCAAAGAAAAATGGTAACCCATCAGCAAAATAAAATTTCTATTGATGTTTCGGCAGAGCATTCATCTGAATCACTCAGCTTTTCTACTCTCCTATCTGCTAAAGATCTGGAATCAAAGTCCCCTCCTACTAACAGTGTTAACAAAGTTAGAGAGCATGACCAAGGGTTTCTCAGTCGCACTGCACCAGTATTGGCTTCTCATGGTTCGAACATGAATCATCCATCCGATATGTCAATCTCCAATACAAAGCTACAACTACAATCCTTTTTATATCAATCAGAGCAGACTACGGTGACCCGTAACCTCAGCTCCAAAAAAGCAACTCATGGCAATTACAAGAGATCGAGTGATAAAAGCACTGGTGGTTCAGATAAACCAACTCGTAAAGAGAAAAAAGAAGCAAAAAAGGAGCGTGCTGCTTCAAGTTCATCATTTTTCCAGGAAATATTTCAATCATTTGTCTCACCATGCAGGGAATGCCATGCTCACAAGCCCACTGTTAAAAGCATGCCAGCAGAACCTATCAAGTTACGCTAACTTGAGGCTCTACTTCACGATTTTTTCAAAGCAAAATTTCCTAATCATTCATTCCTCACTCGAGATAAGGAGTTAAGATGTGCTCCAATTCAATACGAGCTACTATAGTGTGGTTCTCCAAAGTTATCTCACGTTTTTTCCAAAATCAGTTCAGGCATTACAGTAATTGAATAAGACTCCAAAAATTGTTTTTTTTTTTTTCAACTCATATTGTTTTGAGCAATGCTACAACCCACCCCAGGTATAAAGACTACCGTATGTCTTGTATCCTAGGGTCACACTTCCTCATGATATGGACCAGTTTTAGCTCAATCTCTATGTTTTAGCCTTCCCTTTTTTTATATATAGATGTCCAGCTCTAGTCAACAACTATTGTATCTTCATCTACTGTCTGAATGAACAGCGCATGGATTTCAGATTAATTTACAAGTGGTGAGTCTTCGAAGGAAATGAAAATGGAATAGTACTGAAACCATCATTAGTAACAATGAGCTTGTAGCTCAGTGGTTCTCTTGCAAAGCAAGAGGTGTCAGGTCCTAACATCAAGTCCCGCCTTCATCAATCCATTACTAATATCTCAAAAAAAATAAAAACCATTGATATTGGGAAATGATGGGTGCAAGGAATCAGGCTATCAAACATGTCCATTTCTCCAATAATTGTAATTAGGATTACTAAGCACACTAGTGGAATCATGTTTCCCTTCTCCGAATACTTCCATAAATATGGTATACTTCTTTCTACAAGCAATAAGGTCTCTTTCAACAAACTCCACGTGAAAGAAAAATCACCATTTTTGGATCGCCATTAATCCTTGTGTATTTTCTCATGGTACATGGCATTGCATGAACGCATTCCCCTATCATTGCCTCTCTCCACCACTGTATCATAGACAGATAAAAGAGGTGCGCCAAAACAATTTGAACCACCAAGAAATCAAACTTAAGAGTCACCTGTGAAAATAAATGTAGATCAATAATTGTCGCCTTAATCTCTGTTCTCCAACTGAAACGAACCAGACTTGTCTAGTCCCATATAAATGCGCGTGATCACATAAATTAGGATTTATAGTCAAATCGAGCAGGTTTAGCTAGCCATGTCTCATTCTGTCATGTTTTTAGGATTTTGGTCTAACCCGTAGATTTTGTTTCTTAATTATTATCGTTTTAACGACACAAATATCAGCGCTGTGTAGCACAAACAAGCAATGATAATTGTGAAAAAACCTTCAGCAAAATCAGGAAAGACCAGTTATGCTCATGGGAGTCCACAATAAACTTTTTTGAACTGAAGCACGTCATAAACAAAATATGATTAAATTACCCCGCTGCATAAGTGATAAGCAAAATAAGATTAAAGTACCTCGCTGCATAAGTATCTCCATATACGACTTCCACAAAGACAGGAATCTGAAAAGCAAAAGTAGAAATTATGACACCAGAATTTATAAATGAAAATGAATTTAAAAAGAAAAAGAAGAAGAAGAAGAAGAAAGAAAGACCTTAACGTCGAAGGCAGTAAAAATATAACAAGAGAGTTGTTCCAGAGGCTAAAAGTTGAAAATGACCCAGAATCTTAGAAATCTATTGTGTTCAAGATCATTAAGCAGAAATTTACAACACCTAAACAGTCAAAATACGGGTTCTCTTCAGCTTATAAGAAGCCAGTTAAAAGATACTTGGAATCTCGTTTGACAAAATGGCGCCTTACTTTGGAAGGGCAATTTAAAGATATTCTGTGCAAATAATTTCACATGTTTACAAAACCAAGACTTCTATCATTGCACCAGGCAATGGAAAAATAGAAGAAAATCAGAGAATGTTGCATTTCAAACAAAGATACCAGTGAAAGAATAACAATGAATATCCATTATTCAATGAAGCCCGATACAGGCTAAACTTGAATGAAAACGAAACTTGGCAATAGAGAAGGTTGCAGTGACTGCTGGCCTTGGCTCTCAGGAACCAAACGAAATTAACATTAACATGAAGAATTGCGCGATTTCTTGTTTCTATTATAACATTGTGTATTTTTTCACATTAAGCCACATTATTAAAGAACTAGTTCAAGCTATTTTCAATCTAATAGCTTAAACTGTTAAGTGAAGGCCTAATATATAAATTATATTATCCTCTAACACATACTCTCAGACTATTAATTAATTTTAATTAAAAAAATAAGGATGGTAAAATTCAAACTCAATCATTAAAACGACTATTAATTAATTTTAATTAAAAAAATGAGGATGATAAAATTCAAACTCAATCATTAAAGCTTTGATATTATATCAAACAACACCTCAATCCAAAATCTTAAGCTATTAAGTTAGGTCCTAAGAATAGTTTTATATTGCTCTTTATACACATGATCCCAAACTAAATATATATATATATATGGTTTTATTTTCTTCCAAATATATGAGCTAGGAGGAAAAGAGTACTCCATAAAGAAAAATATCTTACAAAATTCACAACATTCCGCCTGAATCTCAGTTTTAACTACTGCTAAATAAGCCTCATACAAACTGTCATGGTTTTCTGAATAACTAGATGTGTCGGAAACTGTACAGAAAGAAAGCCATATGGCCAGGCATCTCAAGATTTTCCATACTTAGAAATGTATCCCTGCAAATGAAAAAGGCAACCATTAAGTGGCAGGCATGAAAAACTTACAAAATCCATATCTATCCCATCCTACATGTGATCTCTCAAATCAAAGCACTCACCTCAACAAGCTTTGCCATTTTTGGCTGAGATGAAGAAAGATATTGCTTAATTGACTCAACATTAGCTGGAATTTGATGAGGTTGCAAGGTGCTAAGAACCTTCTCAACTGTCTTTTTAACTATTGTGTTATGTGCATCCTTGCTGAGATGACCTTCACGCCAAGTTGGTTTCAACAAATCTTTAACAAAATCAATAAGAGCAGCACGAAAATGTCTCAGCACTTTTGATTCTTTTTGCAGATCCCCACCTATCTTTTGATCAACCTCCATGTCATTGTTTTGTCTAACACTATCTGCCTTTAAGTCCTTTTTGTGTCTTGACCTATCTATTTGGGGTCTAGCATCACAATCATTTTTGTTTGTAACTCGATTAACTTTTTCATAACCAATACCTGAGGCACTTTCTTCCTTGAGTGCACTCCCATTTTCACCATCAGCCGTACCAGCTCCTCCTGTCACTGTTGCAGTAGTAAATGAATCTTTTCCAGGTGTACTGCAATTTTTATCCGACAGACTTCTGTGGGGTTTATCATGAGAAGATATAGTACTTTTGTCACCTTTACATTCAGTGCCAAAGTTTCGATTTGACAAGGAATCACCATATATCGGTTGCTGCAATGCATTTGAGATTGATGCTCCTAGACTAAAGAAAGAGAATTTGAAGGATTTATCTCCTACATTGGGCAAGACAAAGCTATCTCGAAGAGGATCATACTTGCTCCTAGCAGATGATATCATTTCAGGAGTAATGAAAAAGGAAGGGCGAAAAGGTATAGATGGCTCCCAGTCATTTGAAGAAATTTTTGTTTTATGCTCTGCATGACGTAATTGATCCCCAGGTACACTAGCTAAAGACAAACTTTCTGGCTCAGAACCAGAGAAAGCAGAAGCACTTCGCGGTAATGAAGATGATCTAGAAGCACGATCACTATCCAGCAGCTTTTGAGAACCAAGCAGGCTTGTATCAAAAGAGGAACTAAAAGAAAATGATGATCCTGTACAGGTTGAGACATGGTGAGATGAGAACAAAACACTACTTAATAAAAAAGAACCAAAGCTTGAATCGTGCACATTCTAATGGAAAACTGAGTCGTGCAAAAAAAGTTAACTCAAGGAAGTAAGCTGTTAAGGATAGCTACCTCTGTTAATTAGAGAAGTGTAACTACCACAATCAGTCGCAGGCCAATGTTGTCTAAAATTCTCCATTCCTACATCCTTAAAAGAGGAAGAAAAGCTGGGATCGTCTTTGGAGGAAGAAAATTGCTTGGCATTGAGAGGAATGCCCACTCTTTGTCGAAGTGACAACTTGTGCTCATCATCCAACTGATGCAACCTCTCATTTTCTTTGTGTTCTAGTGGTGGGAGTCTTTCTGAAGAGAAATGAGAAGAAAATGTAGCTTCTTTTCCTGTTGAAGCAGCAACTGGGTCAGGAAAATGAGGAAACTTTGGTGTCTCCAAAATGTTTCTCGCACCTGATACAGGGGAAGGAACGTATCAGATATTCAGAACATCTTGATGGGGAAGGTTCTCCAAAATCCATATTACAAGAATGTTAAATACCTTCATCAAACTGGTCTTCTCGGATTGCAACCTCATCTAACCCTAACTGTTGGCCTGTGTTATCTGCTTTGTTGGTTTTATGAAGGAACCTACATGAACTCCCTCTAATGCACCACCCTTTCGCAAAAAAGTCACAAATTACTGCTGCGCGTTTGTTTCCATCCCTAAGCTCAGTAGAAGGGGATAAACTTCTTGCCCTTGTCACAGAAGCCACCAATCTGGATAACCTAATTGATTTGTAAGAAGTATGAATAACACGAGAAAAGGAGATATTACTAAGGGAAAACCCAAACTAGAACATTCTATGATAATTAAAGTTGAAGAAAAGACTTAGTCAGCATCACCACACCTCGATTCTGTTTGCTCTTTGCTATCCTCTGACTTCACGTCCACTGGTTTAAGTTCTTCCTTCGAATCCAGAACGACATTAGCCTCCTGACCCAAGCAGTTTCTCTTAGATAAGACAACATCCACCTCTATGCCTGTGATAACAAATGGCTCAGTGGTCTCAACAGCTACAGCTTCGCTACTATTACTTAAATGAGTCTTGCTATGGCCGAAGGCATCTGTTTTATTAATTGCATGTTCCAAAGTTCCATTTTTTCGAGCAATAACCAAATGTTTACTCAATTTGGGGGACCATGAATCTAAATAATTCACACATGACTTCTCCTTCTGCAATGTCAATGGTCCATCCAAAGGGCCAGAACATTTGAAATTACTGACACTATCTTCCCTCATTTCAGACATCTCAAGTGTAGAATGTGATCCCATTTGCCTGTCAGACTCCAGATGCTGTCTATTATCTACATGGAAGAAGAGCTAAATAAAGAGAAATGCAAAGCTATCAACTTCTTAAGACAGATGTTTTCATAATAGATGAGGTCCTAAAAGATTTGTTTTGGAGATTTAAGTAAAAGGAAACTCCATGTAGGGTCACCTATCCTACTAATTACTGAGTCCAAGCCAAGAACCTGCATGGTTGCTCTGTTGAGAAATTGCATAATCAAGCAAAAGGTAGAAATCTACCACATTTTTAACAGCATGCTTCAGTGTATGGGACAGGCCATAGCAAAAATTCTCGACTATCCAAACTTCATTCTAGGAGTAAACAAATCATGGAAAAGGACAAATTGATGATGTCCAAATCATTTGTGAAGGAAAGTGTATTCCCATAACTTTTAGAATGAAATGACTCCTAATACCTAAAATAGTTGATGCTGGCTGTGTTAATCATTTTCGAAATAACTGCAAGAATGATCATGTATTTGGGGGTGGGGATGGAGGTGTAGTAGGCTTTTCTTTTTGTGTCAAATCAATTGTAAAGTGTTGTGAACTAGTTTGAAAAGGAAGTGGTGGTGAAAAAGCTAATCTACAGGCTCATATAGATGCTGAAATAGCACCTGCATCGATAGCGCTCCTTTTTTTATGAAATTAGAAAATATTATAAGATAGGGATTTCTCCTAGACGAGAATACAAGGAAAATAGGGTTTTCCAGACCCTTTGAACATCAAAAAACACAAAAATTATTCATAGGGATCCCAATCAAGCCTCGGTACCATGCCAACCAACATAACCTGACCTCCCATATGATTTGTAATGCGAGAAGGAATCAGTCCCAGATCACTCCGTACCATGCCAGACAACTTTACCAGCAAAACTAGCTAGTGCTTAGTCGAGCACATGATAATAGACTCATCTGAAAGCCTTCATTTTGTACTTTGTAAAGAGATCACAAGATTCTTCTATCCCATGGAAGTTGTTTTAATGGAGATTTGTCATCAAAGATTCTAGAATATGATCTTATCCCCCCTGCCCCCCACCAAACCTGAGAGGTAAATACATGGCATTTCCTCCACTCTAATCATAGACTTATTGTATCTAAAGCCACATCACTAAGCAAACTCCCAATTATGAATAGGGAGAGAGGAAAAAAGGAAACAGAAAGAAGTTAGGCACATGATAAGGGAGAAGTAGTCAGCTTACCATTTCTACTTTCTCTTGAAATTCTCTAGGTCTCCTCTTGGCCATTCTTTTTCTTGTTTTCTTTTATGCATTTCCTTTTAACTTCAATTTTTACCAGTTTTTCGTTTAAGTGCTTTTGAGAATTCTCTCCATTTTCCCAATCCTTCACGCCTTATCCACCTAGGTACAAGAATGAATGACATAAATCACCTATCTTGTCTTTCAAACTCAAAACCATCTTTGTAATTACTGTGATCACCCATGACACTATTTCTTTCAAGCTCAAGATCATTGTTCCCTCCCTGCTTTTGTCCTAAAATTTGGCTCAATCTTGATGTCCTAGATTGTTCTTCAACAAATCAGGTATAAAATATTAGATCATTGCTTCTTCTTCCCTTAGTTTTCATTAGTTTCAATAGTTTTCCAAAATTATTGTCTTTGTTGAACAGCATAGTTTAATGATGAAAGGGGAAAAAAACCTAGAGTAATTGAGAGTTCTATCAATAGTTGCTTATTTTTGGTTTCCAACAAATTTCCCACTTTGATTTCTTTCAAAGTCAAGATTTCTCCACCCAGTCAACAAAAAAAATCCAATCCAATTGGCATTGCATATGGATATGTTGTAATGTATTTTTTTGTTTCTAGTTGTAGCACTATTTTTTTTCTTCTGATCAGTTAAGCTGTCATATTATACTTCCATATATTTCATTTATCCTATTGATTATAGTTATATTTTTTATTATTATTTTGGCAGACTGTTCTTTATGTTCACTGATTATTTTAGTTTTACATCGTATGGCAAATGGTGCAGAGTCATTTTTTTTTCTTTGGAAAATAATGATGAGTTGCAAATATCTGTTTCCATTATGTTTGTAATTTTAGTCATTTGTTGCATTTGTGTTGGCTACATCATTAATTACTGATTTTCAGGATGTCAATGGCTTCTTTACAACATTTTAATTTCATTATTATGTGAGATTATATTTAGTTTGTTAAAATTGGAAAATTATTATTATGCAATTACAACCTTTTCTTGTCTTTTTATAAATACTACAATACCTGATTTCAATAAACACCAGTCAGTATCAAAATGTTTTAACATTGATAATTGATATTGTGGAATCATAATATTCTTTCAGATTTTCTCTTTCACAAGGCATACAGCATGTATTAGATTTCTCCATATTTCAATGCATTTTTTATTTGATTTCTTAATCACCCTCCATCTTCTCTTATCATTTCACATTACTGTTTTACTTTTCTTAATGGTGTAGCTTCAACAAATTATGTAAATAGGAATTATAAAAGGCACTTCAAAATGAAAAATTAATTAATTAATAGAAAGAGAACAATATGCATGGAATGGACAGTAATCAAGATAAAAGCACAATGACAACCTAGAGAAAATTAATCAATTAAATGACCATCAATCATTCACAAGGAGAGTAAGCTAAAGATAATGCTAGACTAAGAATTAAAATTAGATGTACAAAATGAAAATTTCCATATGGAGTTCTATTAAATTAAAAGAATGCCATGAAGAAACATTCCACTGCCACTGAAAAAAGAATTGGACCAAGCGCATAGGAATAAAAAAAAAAGCAGTAAAATGGAAAGAAAACACTGCAAAACTGAGGATGACACATTGGATGAATTCAGTAAAGAAAAAAAGATGAGCATGAGGCAAAGAAGCAAAAACATGATGGCAGAAGTGGCAACCAGAGAGAGAAAAGATGGGGAGAAACCCCGTTTAAAATGGCTTTGACATGTGCCAGACTGCATTGGAACTGTATTCATATGAAACAGCACCTTGATACACAAAGAATAGAGGAAACCTCAAAAGAAAAAGGATAAGATAATTGCTTTTCACGTTTTAAAAAAAAAGCACCAGAGTTATCGGTAAACATCTATTTGTTTATTACGGGATAAAAAGGAAAAAAAATGGAAAAAACAAAAACCTTGTCTGCGTGTAATTCGTTTTACTTCATTGCATATATTCATACAGCCATTAGAAAGACTCACCATTTCCATAGCTAATCAAGCTCTCTAATGTATGATTCAGCATGCTTCCTTGAAAATCCGTAATTAGCAATTCAACCAGAACTCAGAAGAGCAATCATAAAAAGACGAATAAAAAAATTACCAATTGGAAGCAACACCTAATTACCCCTGTAACATCACAATAACTATAACAAACGAAGCAAGTACACGCCATCAAAATCAAATGAAACCTGAAAAAAACTATAGTAGCTCCCTTCTACTTCAAGCAATAATCACACTACCTCAAGCATTGGCATATTCCCTCCGACAAAACCAATCGAGAAAAGGCTCGTCAATCAATGCCAATCACCTAAACAATCTCCCACTAAAACCTAAAACGCGGTTTACACCATTGGCCATTTTTGAGTTAAATAACTTCAAAACTTCTAATCTTATCAAATTTAAAGCAAACACTTAATTTACCACGTTAATCAATGAAGCAATCCATACAATGCTAACGCTCAACAGTAAGTCAAACAAAACAGTAGCAAAAACATCACCATATTACCTAATTTCAAAAAAAAAAAAATCAATCAGATATCATAACTAACCGTTACGTCTCTGATCAACTTCCTCCTCTTCAACTTCTTCTTTTTCTTCTATCTCCTCTTCGTCGTCGTTATCTCCGCCGCCTACTTCTTCTTCCGGGTCCTCCTCTTCTTCGTCATCACCGTTATCGATATCCATGTCGGAACCCGAGATTTGAGCGAACGATGGATTGGAAGAGGGAAGGGCGTGGTCTTCGTCGTCGTCGCCTGTGGCGGCGGCTGATGGTGGCATTGTGTTCAGGGCACCAGGTTCGGTTTTTCTTTCTTTTTTCGTTGCGGTTCGTACAGTTCGCGGTGAAACTTGCGGTATTTTTTTTAGCGTTGTTAGTGCTGTCTACGGTGGTGGAATTTGTTGTCAGATTTGATTTTCTCATAAGTTGTTTTTCTAAATAAATTCTGTTAGTAATGAGTTTTTAAGTATCATCGTGTTTTTTTTTTTCTTCCTGATGTATAAACATCACATTGTAAATAATTCATATAATTTTTTGAAAAAAATTATTTAACGTTAACATACTAATAAATTAATTGATAGTTTTTAAGAGTTTCCTTCGGTATTAATAACTTTTCATTGGAGTTTTTTATTTAACAGGGTATTTGTGTATAGGTAGTAAAGCCAAGAAAAACCCGCCAGCAAAACCCCTTTTCACTATTTGACACACAGATATTACTAATTTATTAGTATGTTTTCTAACATGAAAAAAATCACATAAAATTATTTAATATTATTATTAAATTAAATCTAACCAATTAATTTTAAAATTTTTTAATTTAATTTCTTATCGGATCCAAATTTCAAATTAATATATATGAGAATTAATTTGATATGACTTTACTTGACAAATCTAAAATCAATTTAGATGATTATTAAAAAATATAGTTTAACTTTAAAAATAAATTAAGATAAAATATTTTTTTATTTTAATATTGAGACAACAATATATTAAATTAATCAGGGTTTTGTAACTTAAATTGCTAAATTTATGATAGACTCAGATCATAGATTTCATTGGGTTTAATCATAATTTTTAAACTCAACCCGGTGGTCGACCCAGTCTAATGATTGGGTCATGGGTCAGATGGATTGACCCGAGTCAACCTAAAAAATAAAACCAATACAATAACTATAGAAAACACCTAACTAGTTACAATGCAACACTTATATAAATCAAATTTAAATTTTAAACCAACAACATAAATTTAATTCAATATCCAAAATACAAACCAAATATAAATTTTAAAATATTTAAAACAAAACATTAAAAAAATATAAATTCTAAATTAACAACACATTTATTTTTGTTAAATGAACACATTAAGTTCTTCGATATCCATAGGAGCAAAATTTAAATTAAATGCTGATGGAATTGAGTCAATCTCATCAACACTTAATAAAACATCAGCATGCTCATTTGAAAGTTCATAATTACAATCATCTTCAATCTCATTAATATTTATACCATCTATATTTAAAACACAATTAACAAATAAATATTATATGTTAAACAATACTTTATTTTAAATAATATTTATCACTAAATGATCAATCATTAATTATCATCATCTAAAGTATCTTGTATAGTCATTGTTGATAGAGCTAGGTGAAAACTCTCTACTTCTTCAATTATCAAAATTGACGGGTCATCTTCTAGTATCTAATTTTTAATGTCACAAATTGTCTTAAAATTAATTGAATCATAATTTTATCCTTTTCAATAATTCCTATATATTAAAAGTGAAGGAAAACATAATATAAGTATTAATAATGCTACTAAATAAGATAAAATAATATTTAAGAAATTAGAGAAAAGAAAAACATTTTTGTTTCAATCTTAGATTGTAGTGAATGTAAACAAGGTCATCAAGCCTTCGGTGCTCCAATCTATTTCTTTTCTTAGAATGAATATGTTAAAAAATACTTCAATTTCTCTTGCATCCCGAAGAACTATAAATTTGACTTAACACTGTATAGCCAAATATTATAAATTTGAAGCACTGATTCCATATGTCATCCACCATTCATATATACAAAAAAAAAATAAGTATGACTATGTCAAATAATATTTTTAAATATAAAAATTATATACCTGGAGGTATAAGGGTGCAATTATTTATTGCAGACGCCCGACCAAAGTTATGTTTAGCATTCCTAAACAACTTCATCTCATTTGTAATCTTACTTTGTAATGATAGATTTTCATGTGCATACTTCTTAAGAATATCTAGAAGTCCATAAATGATGCTCATATGTTTATCCATTATATTTGCATCATATTGAAATCGAGGATTTAACCAAAATATCATTGCGTAAAGATTTCTATATAGTTGCACATCCCAACGATTATTAATAATGTCTATAAAAGATTGCACTCTAGCCTTCCTCTTTTGAAATCTCCTCAACATTTCTTATTTTGTATCATAAATAACATCATACAAATATCTCATTAAAGGTCTATCATCACCATTAACCATTCGTAGAACTCAAACTAAAGGTTCATTCATACGCACAATTATTGCACATTTTTCTCAAAACAGAGAGTCTAGCACACTCTCAACAAACTTTTTTTCCTTTACTATCTTTAGTATAAGCAAATGAGACTCATTCCCTAGATATCAGCACAGCTATCAACTCATTTTTATGAGCTAAAATGCTTTGCAATGCAATGAAATTGGTAGCAAAATGAGTAGGAGCTAAATGAAGTATTTCTTTTTCTCTAATGAATTTCCTCATCAAATATAATGGATAACAATTATTATAAATGTACTTTGTGATACCAAAAGCATGCTCAACAATAGAACAAACTGAATGCAATTTACCAATATTCTAGAGTATGAGATTGATGTAATGAGCAGCACAAAGAGACCAAAATATTGAAGGAAATTCTTTCATCAATAACCTGTCAGGGGCAACATAATTTGCAGCATTATCAGTTATCATATGCACAATGTTTTCTACCCTATCACACAAAATAACCTCTCTAAACAACCGATACAACAATCTAATAATCTTTGAGATATTTGATACATCCACAGTTTTCAAAAAAATTATTCCTTTAAAACAATATACTAAGAAGTTAATTATAGTCCTCCTCTTATGATTTGTCCATCCATCAGCTATTAATGTGCAACCAGTCTTCTTCCAAATCTCTTGATAACTCTTAACATAAATCTTCACTTCATCAACCGCTTTTGCTAAATAATAACCACAAATAACATGCAAGTTTGGTCCTTTATAACCAAGATCCATGGCTATTACAGCATTTATGACATGCTGATAATACACATAATTAATAGCATTAAATGATACACATGTATCAATCATCCACTTCGTTAAAGCAAGATCACATCGTTCAACTGCTTCCTTCCTTTACTAACTATTCTGAAGAGACTTTTGAGCACCAGGAGTTATTCTTGACATGAAATATGCCCTTAATATTGCACATTTCTTCTGTTTTCCATAACTTGTAGTTACTTATTTTACAGTGTTGGTGCTTTAAATCTTTTTCTTTTTTGCAACCTTCGGTGGTAACATATGTTTTTTAATATTAACATCCTCATTATCACCATGACCATTATCTTTTTCTAATTGCCTAATCATCATATCTTTATGCTCTTTTTGTTGTGCATTAAATGGATTGAAATCTTCTTACATTTCTTTAACTCTCTTTTTTTTCAACATTTCCTTTAAGATTTAAAAGCATTTCGTGTTGAACATCAAGAAGACATTTGCGACATTGTTCAACTTCTCCTTTAACTATAGCTAAATGTTGTTTAAATCGATTAATGTCACCACCTGCAAATACTTTAGCACAATATAAACATATTAATTTAGTTATTTTTACATCCAACACTAAGTTTAGGAGCTTCTCTACAATGACCCTATGCCAAATATGTTATTCCTCTACTACCACTTGACAAAAAAATTAAAGGTTGAGATGATTGGGCTGTTGAAGGATCACTACTTGGAAAACTACCATCATGTGAAGACATTTTAAGGACCTATCTTAAATGAGGAAAAAAAACTCATGATATGAAAAATAAAGTTGCATAATAAGGGACACTATGGGAAGAAACAAAAAATAGAAAAATCTATTCAATAGAGACTTCAAAATTAATTTGTTGTTATCATATAAAGGAATAATTTCTTAATGTAGAGTTGTAATACCAGATCCATGTGCTATATGATGTTCCATTAAGTTTTCATGATTAGTTATATATTCAAGATTTACAAATTTTATGCAATAGCCACTGAGAAACTGCTAGACTTTAATTATCTTTTTTTTTTTTACTATATTTCTACTTAGAATCATCTTTGGAAACAATTTAGTTAACTAATCTGTCAAATCTAAGCTCACGATATGAAAAATAATATGTTGTTATTTCCACTGCATAATTAATATGCATCTTGGGATGCTAATTGAGAACAATATAAAGTTGCTTGCTTTTTTATTTTATATTCCTACACCAATTTTGTAGAATGCAACAAGTCAATTTTTATCCTAGAAAGAAGAAATGAACTGGAATGGGTTGCAATTGGCTCTAAACATGTACTGTTGCTATTAGTTAACTAATTTGTCTCTAAATTGTACTCGAACTAATAAATTATCTCTAAACATGTATTATTCACAGAATCAAAATTTGAGTTACAATTGACAGAGGTAAACATAAATTGTCTCTAAACGTCAGTTAACTAATTTCATATAAGAGCTGTTAAAAAAACACAAACACTATCGGGACTGCAGAACAATAAGGCTTGCACTGCTAAATTGGCCAGCTAAGTCCTTTTATTTGTCAAGCACATCAAACTAAAATAAAGAAAAAAAATAAGACAATTAACTAATATGAAACTTATGAAGAAATCAATCAAGAAAAATTAATCCTTTATTAAGTTGTAGAAATAACAATAAGACAGAAGCTTTATTAAGTTGCAGAAAAAAAAAACAAGAAATATACCTGTGAGTGTGAGAATATGGAAGAATCAATACTAGATCAAGAACTGCAAGTTCAAAACAGAGGCATAGAATAAAGAAAGAGAGTCGTGAAGAGAAACAAGTAACAAAAGCTTCATCTAACCTTATTCGCAGATTTGAAATAGTGATCAAGAGTCTTCTGCTCCTCTGCTTTTCTTCTCGATTGAAGATTTCTTTAATTAGGTTTTTTTTTATTAGTTTTTCTGCTCGTTCTGTCTTTAATTATTCACGTTTTGGTCTTTTAACTATAAAAGGCAAAACGACGTCGTTCCACGCATATATATAAGGTTGGGTCTTAGCCGAGTTTACCCGAGTCGATCGAGTTTCACCAAGACAAATCCTCGGCTGTTTTTTACTTAGACCCTGCCCGACTCCTGGCCTAGGTTAACCCACCGGGTTTCAAAACTATAGGTTTAATAGCGTTTTTTGAAAAAATATTTTCACTTAATAATATAATAACAAATAT